TGCTCCAGCGTTTGGCCCATATCCGAACCCCGGTGCACCACCAGGTGCTCCAGCGTTTGGCCCATATCCGAACCCCGGTGCACCACCAGGTGCTCCAGCGTTTGGCCCATATCCGAACCCCGGTGCACCACCAGGTGCTCCAGCATTTGGCCCATATCCAAACCCTGGTGCACCACCAGGTGCTCCATCGTTTGGCCCATACCCAAACCCTGGTGCACCACCAGGTGCTCCAGCGTTTGGCCCATACCCAAACCCTGGTGCACCACCAGGTGCTCCAGCGTTTGGCCCAAATCCGAACCCTAGTGCACCACCAGGTGCTCCAGGATATGGGCCATTTGGGAATCCAAACCCTCCAGTTTGGGGCTGTGCACCACCGCCAACAGCACCAACAGCACCACCAGAACCTTCTCAGTCTTCTGATTTTCCTCCTCCTTATGGAGCGCATGAATTGTATCCTCCTCTGAATAATTTAGAGAATAAACATTAAAAATTGATTTGAAGATGTTTATTGGAGATTTCAAGAAAAATAATAAAAAAAATTAATTCAAGGAAATTAGAGTTCATGATTGTTTCTTTCGCATAAAACAGTATAAAAAATATGTATACAGGTACTGGTTAGAAAATTAAAAAATAAAAACTTGGTTTATTTCAGTAATTCCATTCAAAAAGTAAAATTTGTATGTTATATTCATTCATTACAGACAGACAGATATATTTCAAATATTTATTTCTTTTAATTTTGATGATTATAATGAACTACTAATAAATCCCAAATTCAGTATCTCAGAAAATTATATTTTGAAAAGGTTCAATATTGAAGACATCTGGTGTCACACTCTAATGCTGATTAACTCAATCTCGAGAAAACTCTTCTCGTTTATATGTCATTATTGCAAGAAAACCATGGAAAATGATTATATGCTGAACGGCCGCCCCTGGCTTCTGTAGGWGGCCAGGCATTTCTCAAAAGCTTCTTTTTTTTTGTATTGGTCTTAAATAATATTCTAATTTCCTGAGACAGTGTTGGCTCAGTTGATTTGTGTAGTCTAACATAATGTGCAGACTTAATATTTGAATTGCCTTTTTTATACTTGTATGCCAGGTTTTATAGCAGTTAAACTGAATTTATATTTTGTTTGAAATACARTATATGCAGAACAAATGTAAAATTTTGCTCGTGCAGAAAAATAAATCCTGAGATTTCTGAAGGGACAAAGTAAAGCTTTTAAGTTAAACCTAAAGTTGAAAAAAATATTMTTTTCCTATAACTGAACTACAACAAAATGACCTTGTGTTTTGTTGTATATTACTCAGGAGTTTCATCATCAAAACTGACATGAGATAAACTGGTTTTTCAGGAGTCGGCTACCATGTGATCAAGTAAAAACACTCAACAGTAGGCGTTCAGGCTTCACATGGTTTCAGTTCCAACTGGGTTAGTTTTACTTTGCTAATAATGACCATCAAAAACTTTCACATTGAATATGATGCCGTCAACAGCAGGAATACTTTTACAAACGGAGATACCATTAACGGAAGGATCATCCTGGAAACTGACAAGGAAACAAAAATCCAATCGCTTGGTTTTCAAGCAAAAGGGAAAGCTCGAGTTTGCTGGTCTGAAAATCATGGAGAAGGCCATACTCATTTTTACTGGTCTGAAGAGAAATATTATAGTATCAARCAATTAATCTTGAGGGAAGCGAGACAAGATGGTAAGTTGTGATTGAACATTGAAATGATATGAAGCACTCTGCCTGATTTGTTGATAGTTGACATGCTGATGAGCTTGTTCCTTTCTAGGAAGCGAAATAATTGGAAAGGGAAGGCATGTGTTTCCTTTCAGCTTTAAGATACCCGACAGGTACGTTTTCTTTTTGTAGTTTTTTTATTATTATTATTGTTAGTGTGCTAATCTTTGTGTGTGGGTTTTTTTTTTTTTTACTTTACAGAAAAATGCCATCATCTTTTCACTCAACTGTTGGCACAATTGTTCATAAGATGAAGGCAGAGCTTAAACAGTCAATGAAGCTGACAAAAAAAACTAAAGTTCCCTTCATCTTTGTGTCCAAARCAGACAGGGATATGTCAGAACTTATGGTGAGAAAAAAAAGGCAGACACATTTACATTCTACAATATAATGAATACGATTTTTAGGTACATTTTAGGTCACATTTATAAACCACYGTTTGCTTTGTTAGGTTCCTCTGCAGGGGTCCAAGGATAAAAGCATTGCCTTTGGTTCTGGAAATGTTTCATTTGATGCTCATATTAAGAAGATTGGATACAAACCTGGTAAACATCTTCTTTGGGAAAAGGGAAGTGGTGAAGAAATGCAACTCACTGCGTCCCTTTGTTCAGGACTCCACCCGTGACTGGTTGTCTTTAAGAGCAGGCACATGGAAAATTGCTTGCATATTTTTACTTTCATTCATGAAGGGACATTCTCTCACTGGCACGTACAAACCAGTTTTGAAAAAAACAACAACCTGTAGAGCCTAAAATAGTATAGACCACAAAATAATGGCATAGAGTAAATAACATCACAGACAAATTTAATCTAAATTTTTAGTTTAGTGAAGACAGACATGTTGAAAAATAATATGCTGTACAAATTTAAACTTGGATGACTAAACATCAAACATAGTGAAAAAAAACTTGGTATTCTCTCATATCCTGGCCTATCTTCCTTTTTGTTGCAACATTTTGTATATAAGATCTTAAATGGATTCTGTCTTTCTGCTGGGCAGGTGAACCCATCAACATCACAATAAAGATCAACAATCGTTCAAATCGTTCAGTGAAACCCAAAATTGAGCTGTATGAGAAGAGGAGCTTCTTTGCTCAGGGTCATAGGAAACTTGAGACACATAAGATCTTGAAGGGAAAAGATGATGCTGTGGATTCATCCTCTGGCAAAAAGACTGTGAAAAAAGTGATCACGGTCCCAGGAGGATTGCCCCCGTCCATTTTGAACTGTTCCATCATAAAGCTGGAGTACAGGCTCAGGGTAAGTCGTAAAGGTTGTTCCATTTCTATTGGGAAAATTTTAAAGCAACCAAATTATTTTTAAAGACAGTTATTAACACCTAATCTAAACAAACTGAACATAAATCTCATGATTACCAGAGACCTCTAGTGACAAAACAAGGCATTTAATTGACAACCTCCACAGACTTAAAAATACACTGAAATATCCCACATTCTTTCAGAAACAAAACTTAAAATCAGAATTTACTTACATACCTGTACTGTTTTTCACAGGTTTATCTGGATATTAAATTTGCAGCAGACCCACACGTCAAATTCCCTATCGTCATCCTACCTGAGCAGACATCTGAAAGACATTTACCTCCTTCTGGTAACTTTGGATTTGAAACTCTTGGAAATCCAAATCATCCAACTTGGAGCACCACACCACAAGATATGGATCTGCCTCCTTCTTATGAAGAATCTGCAATGTGCCCTCCATGTCCTTCTGCACAGTTTAGGACTACACTGTGAATTTCTGCATCAGAAGGGAATATCGGACTCGCTACATGGAAACCTGTAAACTGTCATATTTTTAATCCTCAACAAAATCTATGTGGTGATCAGAAGCTGGACTAGTATAAAAACTTGACAATCAACTGTGTGTTTGGAACATCAAGGATACAATCAGCCATCAACCACCTTGTTTTCACAGCAAGCAAATACATTGCATCTGAAAGTTCACAATTCAGACTTTGATGTTATTTTCGTTTTCTGTATACACCTTTGACCTCAGGTCTAAATGACCCGGCTTCACTAAACCCCCAATATAAATAGCTTAACTGAATTTTAATTCTAAAAATTCATTTTTTTTCCTTAAAGGACAACTTGCCATTCACCACAAATTGAGTGAATGCCTGAATTTTTCTTTTCACATGACAGAAAGACAGCATTTATTCAGGCAATACGACTTGTTTCTATAACATTGTTGTATTTTTTTTTTTTGTATAGGGAGTTATTTTGTGTGGAGGGTGAGCAATATTTGCATATCGTCGAAGTAGAAGAAATATGGATTGTATTCTTCCCCAACTTGYTCTTCTGAATCAGAGTTGTCTTGCTAATCATTTAAAAAATCTTTTCTAGAACCTGTTCAGCAGTGAAATGCACTCTCATAGCTGCACCAGAGAAGATAGTGTCATCTGCAGCACCGCTCTGAACTACCTCAAAGACAATATTGTTACATTTAGATCACAAGAATCTATAGGTTTCCACACTGCTTTCCTGCTTTTTCTGTCCTCTGTAGGATGTCAAAAATATACACAGACCAGGTGGCAATTTTGTTATATTTTGATCACAAGAACTTGTACTTTCTCGCACTGCTTTCCCATTCTTTTTGTCCTCTGTAGAATGGAAAAAAGGCACTTACACTGGCAGTGGCAATATTGTTAGAATTTSATCAAGAGTTTCTATATGTTCCCGCAATTCTAGTCACCCTCATAGTTTTACACCTTGAGTCCCAAATCCAAGCAATGTRCAGGCAGAACATTCTGTCTTGTYTTGTTTTGTTTTTGTTACTGATAARTCTTAGATAGAACTAAGGTATTTTCACATCTTCTGATATGTAATCGACYCTGTGATTGGGATTTCAATGCAAAATGACTTTCAGGTCAAAATGACCCAAACACAATACTTGTAACTTTTTTGTACAACTCATCAAGTTTCAAGTTGAAAAAATATAATCGATTTTTTTCTTYTGTTTTTAAACTCTGTTTTGGATCATTTTGACCCGAAGACAACAGGAAGGTTGAAGTCTTGTTTGCAGTCTAATATGTTTTGGTAAACAAATGTTTGTAGTACAGTGGGCCAAGACTGATGTAAGTAACAAAGTGCTGGTGCCTAAGGAATCAGACTTTCATTTTCTGTGAGTAATATGGCTTCAATAGAGTTGGGTGTTCTCCAACTGGCCTACCACATCCACAGGGAGGCGCAGAGATGGACTGTAATGTGAACCGGGTGTCAGTCAAAGGCAGTCTGGTCCACAGCTGCTGAAACCAGTGCTACAGGATGTTGCACAATCACAGGCTGGAGTGAGCTGCGCTTTTCTAGGATCAGTGAATAAGATGAGTAAGGTGAATATGTTGGTTCTGGATAAMTTCGCCACAGAACCATATAGGAGACAAAACACACTGTTCAGATTCATTTTAGATGGACATCAGTTTTTTTGAACTGGGACTGGATTCTGTCATCAGTGCTGTATGTGAGTGTGCAAATATTCTGCATGGCTCTGATTTAAAAAGAAAGTAGCTAACATATGCAGTGCTTTTTTTGCTTTACTTTCTTTTCATCAAAAGTAACTTTATAAATGTAATATATTTAAATCACTGTATTGAACACAGTTATGTATAGGAGTTTGAAGTGATTAATAGTGATTTTGCATTGCTTTAAATGGTGTTCACTGAAAATAAAAATAACTTGCGTACATGTAGATTATGAGCCTCATTGTTTATGAATTTTACCTGCAACAGTGCTAACAATCATTGCACATGAAAATCTGGCTTTTCTACAGCATACAGTAGAATGTATTACGGTTTATTTTACTTATTTTTATCTAAGTGTATCCATTTAATTATTCTCCCTCCACATCAAAGTAGTTAATTGATATCAAAATAGATAGAGTTAAACATAACACGGTGTGGAATCACATCATGACATATTAAAAATGTAACGTTTAATGTGTTAAGAGTGCAAAAGCAAGGTGTACATGGTTCAAGGTTGACAAAATTTGAATAACCCCCCTCCCACCCTTTTAGGCAAAATACCACTTTAAACATGAGTAAAATGTTTATATA